TCATGTTGTATGGGGATAGATATTTGTGGTGTAGTTTTGTAGATCACGGTGGTGTGATAGTGGTGTTGTGTATTATGTTATATGGGGATAGATATTTGTGGTGTAGTTTTGTAGATCACGGTGGTGGGATAGTGGTGTTGTGTAACATGTTATACGGGGATAGATATTTGCACCATGGTTTGGGGGTGGCGGCAATTTTATGAAATTCGGCTGTGAGTGAATTCCGGTTGGTGGCTTTTTTGTAGTATTTGGCGGCAAGTTTAGAAATGCGTTCTTGTATTGTGTGTAGTGAGGTGTGTTTTTCAACATAGCATGCCGGTGTGTAGTGAGGGAGGCGGTGGGCAAGACGTATTACACTATTTTGTAATTTTTGGAGTATCAACCGTTGGTTGTTATTCATATTACAAGTTATCATAGAGTCACAGTGTATAAAAGGTCTGATAAATGTTTTATAAATGTACATTATTATCTGTGGTCTGCATCCGTGAGCGTGGTGACTTATCTTGTGGAGGTAAGCTATTCTAGTTTTAATTTTCTTGCTAATTTCCTCAAAATGTGTGTGCCAAGTTAGTTTGGGGTTATTCCTAAGAATTTAGAAGATTTAGAGAACGAGATCGGTTATTGTAGAGGCTCAATTTAGCTAACTTGACACGCTTAAGTCTTTTGTTTAATCTTCGGAAAAGTATAATTGCTTGGGTTTTAGTGGGATTGAGTATTATCCTCCATTTGTTGCACCACTGTGTGATTTTGTCGAGGGCTGTTTGAATTTTCTTTGCCGGTAGTGGAGGGTCCCAGGAGGTACTCCATAGTGCTATATCATCGGCGTATTGTGTGGTGTGGTTGGCTGCGGTAGATCGTTAACGAAGAGTATATACAGCGGAGGGCTTAAGACAGACCCCTGCGTTAAACGTGAAGGGTTGTAAGACTGATGTGTTGATTTTAACTTTCGCAGCTCTATTATCTAAGAAGTTAAAAATCCATTTTGTGAATGTCTGGGTATTTTGTGCTTTATTAATTTGTACTTAAGTCCGTTGTGCCAGACCGTGTCAAAGGCTTTTTGTACGTCTAAGAAAGTGGCAATAGTGGCTTGTAGTTTATTAAATACTGTAAACGTGGTCTCAGTTAATCGTACGAGGTGGTCTGCAGTCTGTCTGTTTTTGCGTCCTGCATTCTGAATGTATGATAGTGTATTGTTGTTTTCTAACATCCATAATAACCTTGTCGTTATAATTTTCTCTAGAAGTTTGCCTGTGCAGTTAATTAAACTGATGGGTCTGAAATCGCTTGGATTTTTTGATTGAGTACCTTTTTTGGGGATAATCGTGACGACAGCTGACTTCCATGCATTGGGGAGATAACCAGAGAAAAGGGATAGATTATATAGGTTAGTGAGATGTGACAGAAGTTTGGGGGATGCATTTTTTAGAATTATGTTGGGGATTTTATCATTGCCAGAAGCTTTGTTTTTGAGGTTTTTCAAATGAATTTTAACTTCAGGTGTGGTGATAGGGATAGATATGTCCTGTGGTGAACTAGGAGTGTATTAACCGGGAAAGAAATAGAAAAGGATGTAGTGTTAGCATTGATAAAGGAGTTAATTTTGTCCTGGTGCTTACTATTGAATCTGGCATCTTGTGGGGTAACAAATGTTTTTACAAACTAGCGTGCAAATAGTTCTGGTTTTTGCTTATCAGTAGAGGCTGTGAAGTTTTCGTATGATATGTTGCCTGTATCATTATTTTCACAGCATATGCTTTTAAACGTAGGGATAGACGGGTCTGGTTTAAGGTTATCAAGTTTGTTGCAAAAGTTGTTCCAATTGTTGTATTGCTGAATTTTGATTAGCTTTTCTATTTCTTTTTTGACTGAGTTGATTTGAGTTTTTATAGCAGGGTTTTTGGTGTTTATGAATTCTTTACGGAGCTTGCATTTCAGGTGCTAATGGCCAGTGGTTGGGCGTGGTTTTAGTGTAATTTTTCGGAACTAACTTGTCTATGGTTTTGATTATGGCTTGTGAGATGTTCTGGTAATAGTGCTCGATATCATCTTTAGAGTTAGCATAGGTTACGGGGTAGGGTAAATCGTCTAAATATTGATTGAATAAGGTCCAGTTAACTTTCTTAAAATTGGGATTGTTTATGGGGTGCTGGTCATGGCTGTTGGACATTGTCCAATTCGGGTTACTGATTTTAAAAGAAAGCGGATTATGGTCTCCTCCGATATTTTCGTGTACTTTAAAATTACTTGTAAGGTGTACTATTGCTGGCGAGGTTGTGGCAATGAGATTCAAATCATGGATCTTGATATTCAAAATCCAGGCATGCTATATAATAGGCCACACCCAACTCAGTCAGTACAGATCCTAACTGGTCAAGGTTTAGCTAACAATGTAAACCGACAGAGCCTTTTACAATGGAAAATACACTACAGGGCTGTTGTCAAGATTCATGAGAAAGAATGACTAGATATATCAACAGTGACTACAATGACGTGGCGAGGCTTCAAAATCGTTTTAATACAATATACCCAACCCTCTGTACATAATTTAATTTTTTTAAAACCATACATTCTTTATTTGCCTGAAAAATGTGTACCTGGTCTATGGATAATGTCAAATATGTATGCATTGACATACACACTCATAAGTATCTAATTACACACTCAAAACATTTTTGCAGTACGTGACTTAACATTTAGTAACATCAGTGACAAATCACAGAAAAGAGAATAAATTGTCAGAAGTTTGATATTGGAGAAACTAGTTTCGACACGTTCGTGCGCCCTCTTCAATCTCACGTTGTCTTCAGGCAGGAAAATCTGGTCAACAAACGCCTACGTGACCTCTGAGCTTGAAATTCCCTTAAGGACACAGGAAGTTGTTAAGTTTAAAGTGGCCTTGGGAAGTGTTGAAATTAGGCAGGTTTTTGATTAAGCAACTTTCGACGATTCTTCTTTTATGTAATTATCCGTTTTGTATAAAATTCTTGTTGGTTTCCCATCAATTTGATGGCCAGAATCTCTCATATGAAGAAAAATGACATTGTTTTGGTTTCCATATTTAAGTTTAGAAACTCTCGTGTCAACACTTCTTCCGGTTTCACCTACATAACCTTTCTCACAAGATTAGCATGGTATAATAAAAACGCCTTGTTTTTTTATCTTCAGGTGTTTTACTGTTTGAAGTTAGGTTATTTTTAATGGTGTTCGGATATATGTATACACCTGGAAAAAAGTTAAGCACCCCCGTGTTTTTTTCAAGTGATTCAGATTCGACGTTCTTGTGACTGATTATAAATTACCATTCAATCTAAACGTGTTTATCAAATGAAATTATGCATTATTGGGCACAAGAAAACAAGATTATCACTGTAAAATAACAATTTTTAATTCACATATCATAACATCAAAATATGGACAGTTTTCATGCTTGAAATTATCTTTAATAAGTATTGTCAGTGAAAGCTCAAAAACGTTATTGAATTTTCAAATCACATTACAAAATGTCAATTATGACCCACACATTGATAATTAGTCATCGAAAAGTCAATATCGGGTATATCCACCGTTTGCCTGGATGACTGCTGCAACCCTGCGCCGCATACTTCCA